GACTTCAAAGGCTGCATTCCAAATCATCACCTCCTTATATAAAAACAGATATTTAAAAAAAATTTTTTTTTAACATTTATTTATTTTTGAGACAGAGAGAGACACAGCATGAATGGGGGAGGGGCAGAGAGAGAGGGAGACACAGAATTGGAAGCAGGCTCCAGGCTCTGAGCCATCAGCCCAGAGCCCGACGCGGGGCTCGAACTCGCGGACCGCGAGATCGTGACCCGAGCTGAAGTCGGACGCTCAACCGACTGAGCCACCCAGGCGCCCCTAAAAACAGATATTTTAAAAGAAATCATCCCTGTTTCTTTTGGCAGGATATTTTAATTCAAAATTACACCAACTATGTAAATTAATTTAGTCCCAGTACCTTGGGGAAAAAAGATTGTACTACTTTTAAAATTAATATCTCAGCTTTAGTACAGAGCTTTCAGTTGTCAGACACATATTTTCCTTTTTCTTTTTGATACTATGATCACATTAGTACGGAGTAGTATGCTCTAAATTGTGTTCCTTGAAACATTCCACAAAATGCTTTAGTTCATCTTCCTTACAGACTGCAGTGGCCAATGAGCTATATAAATCATCATCATCGGGTGGCTTCTAGAAAAGACCCGAGAGGGAACACTCTGAACTTGAGCTTGGACGTTTTATTATGCTAAGGATGGCAGAGCAAAAAGACAAAAGGAGCCATTTTTGAAGATGTCATGGGGCTCTCACACCAACCCCAGCCTGCTTATCATCAAACTTCTCTTATGTAACAGAACAGACAGATGTTTAACATACTATAGCAATCTCTACTTAGCATTTCCGAAGAGATACATATACCAATACAGATTATGAATCTCAAAAGAGGCAGATCTAGAATGCCCCCTTTGGAAGCAAGATCAATGATGAGCATTTTGTTAGCATATGTGTAGTTCCCAAAAAGTAGTTTGGGGAATGCTGGTCTAATTTAATTGACAGATACTGCTTGGATGTTTTCTTTCAGGGGGAAAATTTATCAGCCAGAAACTGTCAGTTTCCTTCATGCTATAGAGAGAGTCTATTTAAAGTATTACAATCCATTGACAGATCAATATCAGCAATTTAAGTTTAGTAGCAACAGAATAGGAACACAGGGCTTGGAAAGACCTGTAGGCATGCCTAACTTGAGAGTCAACTTGGTTTCTGAAATGCAGAGGGATCAGGTGAGTTACTGAAATATGCAGAGGCTATCTTAGTGAAGTTATCTGATGGGCTGCCGTTCTGCCACAGGCCATACAACCAGCATGAAAGCAATCATCATTTGTACAATGTAGCAATTCTCTTTTTACCTTATTCTGAAAAGCAATCCAATCCCCAGAGCACTGTATTTTAGCTGCAGAATCTGGACTATATTTTTCTAACGAAGAGACATTATATTTTTCACAGATGAAGGGCAACTTGGTACTACAGTCTGCAGGTTTATTTAAGTCTGAGAAATGAAAAGCAGGATTACTGTAGTGAGAATTTTCTGTTCAGCAAATTTTAAAAACAATCCAGTAGTAAAGAAAATCTCTTCAAATCATTCTTTCCCAAACAGTTACAATATATTCCTTTTCTCCTCTAGCCATTTCTATCTTCTATAATTATCAGTAGGTTATAGTATACCAGTGTTGCCGATACAAATGCACACATTTGGTATAATGACCTCTGTTACCACAGTTCCTGATGGTGAGAAAATAGGTTGAAAGCGAAGGCTAATGAAGGGGAAAGAGACCTAAACTATATTTAGAATTTGTTACCTGTTTATCTTGGCAAATTTGTTTATAAGCTTATCAGTTATGAAAGTGGTAAATTTATTTCTAAGTAACTGCTTTAGGATAAAGTCAAAATATTCACAGTGAAAAGCACCTTTATCTGCATTTGGAATTTGAGCCATAGTCATTAGCAATAAGCCAAAACAAGATGAAGGTTAAGCTAGTAATTGAACCTGAAGTTCACATATTACATAATTAACATTAAAGGATTTGGAATTAATTTACCGCTAAACCAAGTCTTGGCAGACATGTACAAGCATTCCTCCCGAAATGTTATAGGAAAGTGATGCCATAGATATCGTGAGCTGAAAGAAAAGGAGAGATTGCACAGCTCATAACGTAGTTACATGTTCCATTCTGTTTTTTACTGTAATTTTACTTCTAAATTTAATGTTATGCCATTATTTTATACCAGTTTTTTCTTAATGTTAATATGCAAAAAGACTTGGTTTCTCTAGTCTACACAGTTCACAGATTAATGTTCAAAACAAATTGTAAATAGCAATCCCTTTTCTAAAGGGAATTTGGGACTTCTTAAAATGACTTTACAAAGGCAGCATCAATTGTGTCACATACTTAAGAAAGTGACGATCTATGGGCTGTTCACCAGTTCTCACCCACCACTTCTGTTCATCACCAGATATCTGAAAAACAAACCAACCAACCAACAAAATCACCCATCCTTACATGTGTTGACTTTTTTAAGAGAGTTTTGATTTACATACCCTATCTTACCATAACCACAACCACTAAAATTTCCAGACATTCCTTGGTCTCTAAATTATATACACCAGGTCCTTTCACCAAAGAAGTAGATGAAAACTTCTGTATATTCACTATGTGCTATTTTGCATACAGAAAATATGGTCACTGTAATAACAGACATATGTTAATTGGATATAGAGGATATACTACAAGGAATTATACATTTAAAAATATAAAAATTATTTTTCCCACAAAGATATTTTGCAAAGTTAGTTATTAGAAGAAACAGAAACTCAACTATAAAATTAACTTTTACTACAAAATAAAAGAATTAGAGTAATTTATATTATCTATTGATGTTCATCTTATAAATTGACATTTATATTTAATCTTGAATATTTTATTTTTAAAAAAAATTTTTTTTTCAACGTTTATTTATTTTTGGGACAGAGAGAGACAGAGCATGAACAGGGGAGGGGCAGAGAGAGAGGGAGACACAGAATCGGAAACAGGCTCCAGGCTCCGAGCCATCAGCCCAGAGCCCGACGCGGGGCTCGAACTCACGGACCGCAAGATCGTGACCTGGCTGAAGTCGGACGCTTAACCGACTGCGCCACCCAGGCGCCCCCTCTATTTAACTTTTCTAACATGAAATGATGAATTTGGGTGCTGTTAGGCAAATTTTACTTGAAAGGAACATTAAACTTTTGTAGATTTTGGCAAGATTTCTGAAATATGTTTTATTTTTTTTAACATTTATTCATTTTTGAGAGTGAGAGAGATAGAGCATGAGTGGGGGAGGGGCAGAAAGAGAGGGAGACACAGAATCAGAAGCAGGCTTCAGGCTCCGAGCTGTCAGCACAGGGCCCGACGCGAGGCTCGAACTCCTTTACTGTGAGATCATGACCTGAGCCGAAGTCGGACGTTCAACCGACTGAGCCACCCAGGCGCCCCAATAAGCTGAAATATTTTTTAGTGGAATAAATAATGAAAATAAGAAAAAAAAATTTAATATATTATCTCAAATTACGTTTGCTATTTTGTTTTTGATGGCTTTTAGTCCTGTCAAAGATGTCAGTGTAGCCAGGGAGCTGTGATTGCTAGCACAATACAGCACAGCTTCTTCATAGTTTAAGTGAGGATCAGCAACAAACCAATATTCACTCCCTTCAATGACAACTGGAGGTCCATGAATTCCAGCACGCTCTAAAGAAGAAGATCAGAATTATGTACAAAACAAAATGCAGCCTCTAAACACAAATTAATGTTCAAAACTACTTATAAATAGTAATCCACTTAGATTATTGGGTCTCTCTGGCCAGGGCAGTGCTGTCTCCAAGGCACCAAGGATTGTTGAGCCAGTGAGAGATACAGCCAGCCTTCTGTACTCACAGAGGAGCACAAATCCAGCCTCAAATTCTCATTCCACATCAGCCAATCACCTTTCCTGCCTGGAGATACTTCACCTCCATTGAAGATGTGATAGAAAAGCTGGCACTTAGGCCATGGCTTAAATAATGAACTAAATACATTATTGAGAAGGTAAAAGCAGCTTTGGCTAAATTTTAGTTTTCTTAACTTACCTGGATTGTACCAGTCTGGTGTTTTTGGAGTAAAGCCTATATAAGAAAGAAAGCAAAAGGCTTAAAATTAGTATCCAATTAGAGATAATGTCAGTAAGTGCCTTTAATCTAACTCAAGAGGACTTGCAGAATTGCTGAGTTTGACCATTTATGGCCAAACCATTACCTTTCATATTATGATTGCTTCAGTTTGAATTTCGTGGGGCCTAAGCTAAAGCTGCTTTAGTGGCAATCAAAAAAGCAGATCTATTACTATTAACGTATTACTAGCAGTTCTCTACCTTATATCACTAAGTCACAAAGGAAGACTAGACGGATAAGATACAGTTAATAATTAGAAAGTATAAATAAGCAAATGAGTATATCATATACATTACATATGAGCAGTAAGGAATAGGCACCAAGACAATCATTGTAGGATGAGATTATTCAGGAGCTAACTACTTCTCCATCCAACGCAATTTGAGTAATTGTTCCATAAACCTGGGTTGGTTGAGTTCATTGTCTTAGGATATCCTTGTAAACAATGTAGAGTAATCCAGTACTGAACTTTTTAAGAAGCTTTTTTAAGAGACAAAACTGGGAGAAAAATAATAAAAATCACCCAGAATTCCTAGTTGGAAACAGAGAAAATACAGTACATTACAAAGAATTTTCGTCTTTGAAGTTGAGCGGGTCAGTTTCCAAATGCCCTCAGACCCTTCACAGCTGTGGGACTTTGGATTGGCTGTTTAACTCCCTGAGCCTCAACTCTCTACTCTATAAATAAAAAAACAAGATTCTGCTACCATACTCACAAAGACTGTGAAAATCAGCTTCAGACCATGCCTTCAAAAGTACCCAGACAGTTGCAGGGCAGAGTAGCTTCCCCAGAATGCTTGTTGCCTTCTTCTCCCCCACTTCTTTCTTTCTTTTTTTTTTTTTTTTTTTTTTTTTTTTTAAGTAGGCTTCACTCCCAGCTCGGAGCCCAACACGGGGCTTGAACTCATGACCCTGAGATCAAGAGTCGGTCATATGTCATTCCGTTCCAAGGCAAAGACATAATTTGATGAATCTTATAAATTACAGGGCAAAATAGCTGTTCTTAATTTCGCTGTTGTATCTGGGCCTAATGGACAGATGACCCTACTTAGAGGACTGTCTATGTATCTAACATCTTGGGTTTCTCTCTGTGAGTCGTTCTCTGTATACTGGGTAATTTCTATCAACAATGGGTCAAATCAGTTAAAAATATACATAGTTTCTTGTTTGTAATCTCATCAAAAAGTTCTGTTCATTTGTGTCTTGGGGGAAGCTATGTCTAACCTTGAAATTTCTTTAAATTAGTGAGAAAAGCAGAATGCAAATTTTTCTTTTTCTTCACAAGATTACGTATGTTTGTGCAAGTTATCAAGAAGTATAATATACTACTTGTTGTGTTTGGGTACTGGCATTATAGATGATTTTACTAAAGACATTTTTATGAGTCTTATTTTTGATACTATTTGTTCAATTTAAAGAAAAGAATATTTTACTGTCTTTTTTTTTTTCAACGTTTATTATTTTTGGGACAGAGAGAGACAGAGCATGAACAGGGGAGGGGCAGAGAGAGAGGGAGACACAGAATCGGAAACAGGCTCCAGGCTCTGAGCCATCAGCCCAGAGCCCGACGCGGGGCTCGAACTCACGGACCGCAAGATCGTGACCTGGCTGAAGTCGGACGCTTAACCGACTGCGCCACCCAGGCGCCCCAAGAAAAGAATATTTTAAAATTATGTATATCTATAGCGGCTATGGCTATTTAAAATTTCTAGGTTGTCAAAGTATCCCTTTTAGAGAAGGGGGGACTAATTAGAAACAATTGGATCAGGTAATAAAAAAGGCAAATACTCTGGTTTCTCTTCAGATCTTATAAATCTTTTACCTTTTTAAAAAAGGCAGGAGCAAAGGGCACCCAGGTGGCTCAGTTACTTAAGTGCCGAGCTCTTGATCTTGGTTCAGGTCATGATCTTGAAGTTCCTGCATTTGAGCCCTGCATGGGGCTCTGCACTGACAGGGTGGAGCCTGCGTGGGATTCTCTCTCTCCCCTTCTCTATCTGCCCCTCTCTGGCTTGTGCTTGTGTGCTCCCTCACTCTCTCGCTCAAAATAAATAAATAAACATTTAAAAAAGGACAGGGGCGGGGCGCCTGGGTGGCGCAGTCGGTTAAGCGTCTGACTTCAGCCAGGTCATGATCTCGCGGTCCGTGAGTTCGAGCCCCGCGTCAGGCTCTGGGCTGATGGCTCAGAGCCTGGAGCCTGTTTCCGATTCTGTGTCTCCCTTTCTCTCTGCCCCTCCCCCGTTCATGCTCTGTCTCTCTCTGTCCCAAAAATAAATAAACGTTTGAAAAAAAAAAAAAAAATTAAAAAAAAAAAAAAAAAAAAAAAAAAAAAAAAAAGGACAGGGGCACCTGGGTGGCTCAGTCAGTTAAGCATCTGACTTTGGCTCAGGTCACGGTTTCATGGTTTGTGAGTTTGAGCCCCACATTGGGCTCCATGCTGACAGTGAAGAGCCTGCTTGGGATTCTCTCTCTCCCTCTCTGTCTCTGCCCCTCCCCAACCCACACTTTCTCTCTCAAAATAAAAAAATAAATTAATTAAAAAAAAATAGGTAGGATAATTTCTTTATGGAAAAAAAAAAGGCAGGAACTAGAGCAAAGGTATGATGATTTAGGCTACTGAGGTTTATAAACTGCTTTAACAAAACCAGAAAAATACAGATTGATACAGAAATATCCAGTTGAGCAGACTTTAGCTGCTCTACTAACTGAGAAAACATTCAGCTAGGTGAATGTGACACATTATAACTTAGAATTTAGGGGCTATCAAAGGGAAGTTTCCCTAACATTTACACTTCTGGATCAAACAATCACTAATTTCTTCAGACAATTGTGAATAGACTAAGGAAGTTCTTTAGTTTTTAAATTTATTTCTACATGAGGAGAGCAGGGGTACAGTTATTTAGAAGATTTATTTAGTTAGTTAATTGACTTATGTTTGCTAAGCTTGTTAATTCCCTTCTTTTTTAAAATAAAAAAATCTATAAAAAAGACAAAAAGACAACTACATGCTCTTCATAATATTTCCTGTACTTACTGGTTTGTAATTTCTCTAGTCATGCTGGTGTGAACTCTTGGGTTTGCCCCACTGCTCAGATAGGAGGCACAGGGGTGGGGTAGTAGATACCAGTGAGGACACAGTTTGGAGGGAGCAATGACATTGTCTGTGGCACGTTAGCAAATACTAAAGATTAATGGGAAGATCACCACTCCTGCTTCAAACCAGAGAGTTATCCAAATTAGTCATATATGTTAGTTACTTCTCTGCTTGTTTAAAGGGTATCCAAATTGGCTTCCCTTTGTTCCTTTGCAGGTTTAATCAAATAATCAGGAATACCTCAGGTATAATTTCTCTATTGGAAAAACCCTGTCAACACACACACAGTTCCCTCTTTTATTAATGGCCTGCCAGTTGCTTTTGTGAAAGAGACTTTCCAGTTACTGTACTGGATATCATGTCTGAAGCTCTTTTAAAGGCAATATGGTGGCCTTCTTAGGGAAAAAGAACAATGTTCTAATAGATGGTTGCATGAAGGGACATTCTGGGTTCTTTGAGAGCTTAGTAGAGGATCTACCTTTAGTTCCAATGATTTACATTCAGTTCAGAAATTTCCTTGAGAGCTTTCTGTGCACTTACCACTACTTAATATATCCAATAAAACTACTTAAAATTATTTTAAAATTATTGAAAAACAATTTGAGTGTTAAAAATCTTCTTAACACTTTCCTTAATATTCTTTAACATTTTCCTAGTAACAAGCTAAATAAAAAGGTATCTCTTTATTCCCCTTTCTCTCCTTTTTGTCACCAAAGCCTCTACTATCAAGCTAACTGGTCTCCTAGATTTGAACTTGAATTCCATAAACTATTGGCAATATGGGAGTTCAGTGCAGATTGCTTCCACATGTTACAGAGACCTGCCAAATTTTGATTTCTTGATTCTTGCCTCGTTCTTCCCAAGTTTATCTTCATTTTGCATCAAAATAAAAATTGAAATGATTCCCTCCACTATGTATCTTCTTTTAGTTGAATTAATCTTTCATTTCCAAATCTAATTTCTCTAAATTCAACTTAAATTTTATTTTCTATACACATTCTTTCATGATCAAAGAGGAAGGTACCATCTAATCTCAATAAGCCAACCTTGTCCTCAGGGTAGGAGTCTAGCAGGATGGAGCTTAATGTATTAACTGTGTCTTTATAGGCTTTTTAAAATTATGATTATAGACTAAAATGCTCTCTTAGGCACTTTAGGCTCAGCATTTACAATGTTCACATGAGAAGACTGTGAAAAGGAATAACTACCACTTACCTTTTGGAATCTGGCATACCCATTCAAGTTTTGTGTCACAAGCAAAAGGTCGTAAGTAAATAAATTCTCTGTCATCATAGAAATACCAGCTTCTTCGCCCTGGCCTGTGAATGACCTAAAGGAGGAAGAAGATTGCAGACTATTCTGAAGTCAATGCAGCTTTATAAAACACTAAACTTTAGGCCCTATAGCGTTTAATCTATTTTAGCTCTAGCACCTAAGATATTTGTTTAATGAATGAACACAGTGTTTAAACGGTTAACAGCCTAATCAAGAACCTTCAAAGGGGCTGATAAAGGAAATAAGGTCATGTTTATGATAAGGTCATGTTTATGTCCAAAATATAAATTATTGCTTTTTTTTTTCTGTTCTTGTTGATACGAAATTGTAGGTTGCACCTTTAAATTTGAGAAAGGTCAAGCTAGAAAAAGATGCTTATTTCCGTGGCTTCCAAATAGCAGACTGTGATGAAAGCAGATCTGTGAAATGTGACATTAGAGGCTGACATCAAGGGCCTAGGTTCCTGCTGTGGTGTTGCTCTGCACTGCCAGGATGTGAGCTTCTTCTATGTGATCCCAGATCGCTCTCTACAAACCCCAGCCAGCAAGCAGAGAAGAAAGGAAAGGAGAGGGCATGACCTGGGAGGAACCGCCACCATTCTTTGGACTGCTCTCTCTTATGACCAAGATTCTGGTGGGTACTGTGGCAGGTTAGGTGAGATTCTCCTTCCAGAACACTGCCCTGGCTGGCCTTGTTCCTGACACAGGTAGGTAGCATCAGTGTCTCTTTTATTTAGTTCTTTGGTAGATTTTTGACTCTCTTCACACATAGGGATTCTACTTACATAGAACATAGTTTATTGCATCAGTGTTCTGGAAACTTTATAAGCTTCTCTGAAGTTTTCATCTTCTCATGTGTTAAATAGAATTCTATAAAAATGGCATGATACTATATAGTTTATTACTAGAACAGGTGCTTAGAAAATAGTGTTTTCCAATGACATTTTCAGTTCTCTTCTCAACCTTCCTGCAGCACTTCTGGGCAATCACCTTCTTGAATCTCTTTCTTGGGCGTGCATAGCAAAGATATCATTTATAGGCCTCCTACTTCCTCATCTTACATTCTATGTGTTGATGATTCCCCTAAATCCACTTTTGGCCCTTTATACTTTTTTAATATACATTTTTCCTTCAACTCCAGTCTCTTAACTTCAACTTACTATAGAATATTTCTTACTACTAGCTTGAATTCAAAATATCTAAACTAAAATGTGGTATTTTCTCCATAAGTCAGTATCCTTTCTGTTTCTATAAATGCCTAGTCATATAGCAGGGTGGACCCAGACACGGGGGATTAAATTTCAGTTCTATAATCATGTATACTTACTCAAATTTCTCAGAACTCATAAGGTGAATATGGTAATAGTACCTACCTCACAAGGTCATGTAAGCATTAAATGAAATAATAAGTGTGACATGCCTAGCACTGTGCCTGGCTCATGAGTCCACAAGTATTAGCTGCTGCCACCATCATCACTATCACCACTGTCAATCATCTAGTCCAATGCTTGGACTGTCATTAGTGGAATCAATAAGTGAATGAATTTTGCAAAGGAAGATACCTAACTGGTCTTTTATTGCCTTCTGATCCTATCTGCTGCATCTTAAAATCTGACTTGATATGAATCTTCTTTGCCCTCCTTGGTTTCTTGTCAAAAATCCTTAATAATGCTATTGCTTACCATCAATCTAATTTCCCAACTTTTTTTCTTTTTCTTTTTTTTTTTTTTTTGGTTTATTTATTTTGAGAGAGAGATAGAGAGAGGGTGAGTGGGCTCGAGTACAGGGAGAGGGCAGAGAGAGAGGGAGAGAGAGAATCCCAAGCAGGCTCCACACTGTCAATGAAGAGCCCATTGTGGGGCTTGATCTCACAAACTGTGAGATCATGACCTGAGCCAAAATCAAGAGTCAAAGGCTCAACCGACTGAGCCACCCAGGCGCCACCCCCCTCAACTTTGTTTTCAACCACGGCACCAAAGAAACCTTCTTGATCTGTATTCTGTTCTCACTGCCTTAGCCTCTCCCTTCAACTCTCTTGTGATTTTATGCCACCTCCTCATGTTATCCCCCATTGGAAAGGCTTACCCTATCCTACCTGTGCAACAGCACAGTTCAAGTCCCACCTCCTTCTGGAAATAGGCCATAGGAATCACTTCTTCTGAGTTTCATCAGTGCTCCTCAGCTCATTCACTTGGAGCCTATTACTGTACAGTAATAAAAGCCATCTTTCCTGAATATGAATTTTATCTTCTCAAATGAAGTGTAAGTTAGGTAGCTTGGTTCTTACCTTCCACTGCACCCAATATCATGCTCCACACACAAAAGGCACTCTGTGGATCTGTTGCCTGACTGAACACAATGCCAAATTTATTTTTTAAATATGCAGATTTTCCAGCATTGTACCGACCTTGACAGCAGCACAGTCTCTGATATCATAATCCTGCTGAAACTCATTTTCCATGATGATAGTAGACACCTTAAAGAACAAGAGAGGCTTGAGAACTTAAGTCTGATGTATATATATTTGCAATTTAGATGTAATTTAGGAAGCTTTAATAACTCAAACACATTCACATGCCATGGAAGGAAAACTTTTCATCTCTCTCTTTTTTTTAATATCAGGATGTTAAATCATCAGATGACTTAGAAAATATCGTACTGTCGTCAGTTTCCCAACGAAGGAAGCTATAGTTATAGAAGTGGAGGTTAGCGGTGTATTAAGTTTGCATGTGGGATCACAGAGAATCAGGAGTTTACAAAAGACCTTTTTTTTTTTGGCATCTGTTGAAATGCTAGTTATTCAGTTAACTAATTTCAGACATGCACCCATTTAAAAATGAAAGTCAAGGGATTTTACATTTGGAAAGAATATACAATGAATTGACACAATGGTAATGTGGAGTCAATATTCAATACATTTGAGAATAATTTGCTCCTATAAATGTTACCTAAAACTTCTCTTTAAGATAATATAAACATTTGAAATAGTATTTAAGGTCTTTTTAAGGTTTCCCCCCAAAAATTATTTCCCCCAATAAAGACATATTCTTTTTTACATAACTCTAGTAAAACTCTTTTACATAACTCTTATGTAACTCTAATAAAAATAGAAGCTTCTCATTGTGAATAAAGAATATAAAAAGCAGCACAAAGAAAAAGAAAAAACTTTACTATCCAAAGATGACCGCTATATCTATATATCCATATTTTTTGGACTATAGAGAAACTAAATTATTTTTTAATTTTAATTCTAATTTTTTTCAGTTTATTTATTTTGAGAGAGAGAGAAAAAAGTATGAGTGGGGGAAGGGCAGAGTGAGCGGTGGGGAGAGAGAATCCCAAGCAGACTCTGAGCTGTTAGTGCGGAGCCTTCAAGCAGGGCTGGCTCTCACGAACCATGAGATCATGGCCTGATCCTAAATCAAGAGCCAGGGTGCTTAACTGACTGAGCCACCCAGGTGCCTTTATATGGTTATTTTTTAAAATAAAAATGAGATTAGTAACTTTTCCCCTCGCTTCTTATATGTGAACGGATTTCCATTTCAATCAAGATACTTCTTCATAACTTTAACACTTGTATGGTCTATGGGTGTATTATTTATCAATTCACTTGATATTGAAACAAATAATCCCTTTATATTAACCCAAACGAGAAAGTTTAAACTTACTGGTGTATGATCACTCCACTCCCAGGATCCTTGTAAATCTGGGCTCCTTTTATTCAAACCTATCCACAGCCAACGCTGGTCACTATGTAAAAAGAAAGTATTAAAAAACAATGTGAGCACAGATTTGGCAAAAATATTTAGTATTCACATGTCTAAAATGCTTAAGACATAGGGGCACCTGGGTGGCTCAGTCGGTTGAGCATCCGACTTCGGCTCAGGTCATGATCTCGCGGTCTGTGAGTTCAATCCCCGCATCAGGCTCTGTGCTGACAGCTCAGAGCCTGGAGCCTGCTTTGGATTCTATGTCTCCCTCTCTCTCTGCCCCTCCCCCGCTCATGCTGCCTCTGTGTCAAAAATAAATACACATTAAAAAATTAAAAATAAAAAAAAATAAGTAAAATGCTTAAGACATAGAAGTTTGTCTTGTCACTAACTGAAAAGCACCATTTTAAGCTCAATAAAGACATCTTTTGAAATGAAACCGAACCCTAAATATTGGAAAAGTACCATACTTCTTAAAACTAAATTTTAAGTTATGTTCTTCATATGAAAGGTAAAAACTTTCCATTTTGAACTTCAGAGGACAAAAAAATGAATGATAATCTAAAACTTTTACTGGAGAGCTTCAATATTAGATAATGTTTTCAGATACAGTCAAAGATAGCAATAGCATTTGCTTAAAGTGTTTATAACACATTTAGATATCTTTTTTTTTTAATGTAGTACAAATCATTTGGCTAAATTTAAATTAAAAAAACTTTTTATTCCTACTGCCCATTAAGTTTAGAGTAAACAAGTATAAATATCTTTTTTTTTTCAAAGATTAAAAAAATGTTTCTTTGAGAGAGGAGAGAGACAGAGACAGAGAGAGAGAAAGAGAGAGCATGAGCAGGGGAAGGGCAGAGAAATAGGGAGACACAGAATCTGAAGCAGGCTCCAGGCTCTAAGCTGTCAGCATTGAGCCTGACATAGGACTCACACTCATGAGTTGTGATATCATGACCTGAGCCGAAGTTGGATGCTTAACTGACTGAGCCACCCAGGTGCCCCTTTTTTTCAAAGATTTTATTTTTAAGTAATCTCAACACCCAATGTGGGGCTCAAAGTTACAACTCTGAGATCAAGAGTTGCATGCTCTACCAACTGAGCTAGCCAGGTGCCCCCTGCTTTTTTTAAAGATCAAGTATAAGTATCTTCTAAGTGCCAAACTTCATGGGTTATACCCATGAATATACCAGAGCAATATAATTAAAGTCTTTTAAATGGTTATATTTAACACTCATTATTATTATACTTCTATGTACAAGGCATTGAGCTAGGTGCCATGGTGACACAGAGAAGTACAAGACCTAGTATCTATCCTCATATGGCATAGAAACTAGTCAGGAGGATGATATATACATGAACAAAGAAAATAATGGCCATTTAGAAAGATACCAAGTGACGTAAAATTTGTATAAATTTTAAGCATTAAGAAAGTTCAGAAAAAGAGGGTCACTGTGGACTGCAGCAAGTCACAATACATTTTGTGAGGTCAGTAGAACAAAAGATAGTCTTCAAAGGATGGCTAACATTTCTTTTGAGTCATAATCTGAGTGTTTAGCACATATGAATATTACAACTGACTGAGAAGAGAAAGACATTCCAAGGAAGGATATATACAATAATACACAGAAGCAGGGACATACATTGTAAATATCCTTTTCCTCAATTAAACTTATTCTCTGGCTAGGAAGATATTGGCAATATACATAGAAGTGACAGAACCATAAGAACATTTTCTTTACCTCTCACCCCACTTGAAAATATTATCTAAAGTATGTTACACTTTTTAGGCCTTAATAAATAGACTATTATCTAAACATATAATTTTTTTTGGTGATGTTGGTTACTTTCCTTATAATTTAACCTTCTAACTGCATGTAGTATATATGATCAGTACATATGAGTGTATGTTATATGTGCATAATAATACATATAAATATAACACATATTAGAGAACAGATAGGATCCAAATCTAAAATTAATTCTTACTCTCAAGCTCAATAGAATGTATGGAATATATGGAATGTATAGCTAAAAAGCATAAATCTGCAATTCAAAGAATTTGCTAGTGAATCAAGTCTAGAGCACACTATTTTATTTAGTTTTATTTTTTTAATATGAAATTTATTGTCAAATTGGTTTCCATACAACACCTAGTGTAGAGCAAACTATTTTACAAGTAATTTCTCACTTTTTAATAAACTAATTGCTTTTCTTTACCTCTTTCCTCTATTCAATATTCCCTCATACTTTTTATTTTTTTAAATTTAAATCCAGGATAGTTAACATACAGTGTAATAATGATACGAGGAATAGAATTTAGTGATTCATCACTTACATATAACACCCAGTGCTCATCCCAACAAGTGCCCTCCTTAATGCCCATCACCCATTTAGCCCATACTCCCCCCCAACACCCCTCCAGCAATCCTCAGTTTGTTCTCTACATTTAAGAGTCTCTTGTGTTTTGTTTCCCTCCCTGTTTTTATATTGGTTTTGTTTCCCTTCCCTTATGTTTATCTGTTTTGTATCTTAAATTCCACATATGAGTGAAATCATGATACGTGTCATTGTTTGACTTATTTCGCTTAGCGTAATATATTCTAGTTCCATCTACATTGTTGCAAATGGCAAGATTTCATTCTTTTTGATTGTACAGTAGTATTCCATTGTATATATAGACCACATCTTCTTTATTCATCAGTTGATGGACATTCTGGCTCTTTCCATACTTTGGCTATTATTAATAGTGCTGCTATAAACATTGGGGTGCATGTGCCCCTTCTAATCAGCATTTTTGTATCCTTTGGATAAATACCTAGTAGTGTAATTGCTGGGTCATAGGGTAGCTCTATTTTTAATTTTTTGATGAACCTCCATACTGTTTTCTAGACTGGCTGCACCAGTTTGAATTCCCACCAGCAGTGCAAAAGAGATCCTCTTTCTCCACGTCCTCACCAACATCTATTGTTGCCTGGGTTGTTAATTTTAGCCATTCTGACAGGTGTGAGGTGGTATTTCATTGTGGTTTTGATTTGTATTCCCCTGATGATGAGTGATGTTGAGCATCTTTTCATGTGTCTGTTAGCCATCTGGATATTTTCTTTGGAAAATTGTCTATTTATGTCTTTTGCCCATTCTTCACTGGATTGTTTTTTGGGTGTTGAGTTTGATACGTTCTTCATAGATTTTGGATACTAGCCCTTTATCTGATATGTCATTTGCAAACACCTTCTCCCATTCCATTGTTTGCCTTTTAGTTTTGCTGATTGTTTCCTTCACTATGATGAGGTCCCAATAGTTTACCTTGATGAGGTCCCAATAGGTCATTTTTGCTTTTATTTCCTTTGCCTCCGGAGACATGTCAAGTTAGAAGTTGCTGTGGCCGAGGTCAAAGAGGTTGTTTCCTGTTTTCTCCTCTAGGATTTTGATGACTTCCTGTCTTACATTTAGGTCTTTCATCCATTTTGAGTTTATTTTTGTGTATGGTGTAAGAAAGTGGTTCAGGTTCATTCTTCTGCATGTCGCTGTCCAGTTTTCCCAGCACCGCTTGCTGAAGAGACTGTCTTTATTCCATTGGATATTCTTTCCTGCTTTGTCTAAGATTAGTTGGTCATACGTTTGTGGGTCCATTTCTGGGTTCTCTATTCTGTTCCATTGATCTATGTGTCTGTTTTTGTGCCAGTACTATATTCTCTTGATGATTACAGCTTTGTAATATAGTTTCATGTCTGGAATTGTGATGCCTCCAGCTTTCCTTTTCTTTTTCAGAATTGCTTTGGCTATTCAGGGTCTTTTCTTTTTTTTTTTTTTAACATTTATTTATTTTTTGAGAGAGAGAGAGACAGAGCATGAACGGGGAGGGTCAGAGAGAGAGGGAGACACAGAATCTGAAACAGGCTCCAGGCTCTGAGCTGTCAGCACAGAGCCTGACGCGGGGCTCGAACTCACGGACCGCGAGATCATGACCTGAGCCGAAGTCGAACGCTTAACCGACTGAGCCACCCAGGCGCCCCTTCAGGGTCTTTTCTGGTTCCATACAAATTTTGGGATTGTTTGTTCTAGCTCTGTGAAGAATACTGGTGTTATTTTGACAGGGATTGCATTGAATATGTAGATTACTTTGGGTAGTATCGACATTTTAACAATATTTGTTCTTCCAATCCAGGAGCAGGCAATATTTCTCCTTTTTTTGTGTGTCCTCTTCAATTTCTTTCATAAGGTTTCTATAGTTTTCAGTGCATAGATTTTTCGCCTCTTTGGTTAGGTTTATTTCTAGGCATTTTATGGTGTTTGGTGCCATTGTTAATGGGATCGATTCCTTGATTTCTCTTTCTGCTGTTTCATTATTGATGTATAGAAATGCAACCAATTTCTGTGCATTGATTTTATATCCTGTGACTATGCTGAATTCATGGATCAGTTCTAGCAGTTTTTAGTAGAATCTTTTGGGTTTTCCACATAGAGTATCATGTTATCTGCGAAGAGTGGAAGTTTGACTTCCTCCTTGCTGATTTGGATGCCTTTGTTTCTTTGTGTTATCTGATTGCTGAGGCTAGGACTTCAACACTATGTTGAATAACAGTGGTGAGAGTGAACATCCTTGTGTTGTTCCTGACCTTAGCAGGGAAGTTCTTAGTTTTTCCCCATTGAGGATGTTATTAGTAGTGGGTCTTTCATATATTCAAGATCATATTTCTTTTATGATCTTGCAGTATGATCCTTCTATCCCTACTTTCTTGAGGGTTTTTATCAAGAAAGGATGCTGTAGTTTGTCAGATGCTTTCTCTGCATCTATTGAGAAGATCATGTGGTTCTTATCCTTTCTTTTATTAATGTGATGTATCACATTGATTGATTTGTGGATATTGAACTAGCCCTGCATCCCAGGAATAAATCCCACTTGATTGTGGTGAATAATTCTTTTAATGTATTGTTGGATCCAGTTGGCTAGTATCTTGTTGAGGATTTCTGCATCCATGTTCATCAGGGAAATTGGTCTGTAGTTCTCCTTTTTAGTACAGTCTTTGGTTTTAG